ATCTAGTATATGAAAATGATAGTTTTCCATTGTCTGTTTCAACAGTCCAATCAAACAGAAATCCATAGATGCTGCATCTGGCAACTTGACCAGTATGTCTTTCTATGGAACATCATACAGCTGTCATGTCAAAAGCACAACACCACATCTTGCATGCTTTCCATAATACATCTAGTATGTGAAGATGACAGTTTTCCATTGCCTGTTTCAACAGTCCAATCAAACAGAAATCAATAGATGCTGTATCTGGCAACTTGACCAGTATGTCTTTCTATGGAATATCACACAGCTGTCATGTCAAAAGCACAACACCACTTCTTGCATGCTTTCCATAATACATCTAGTATATGAAAATGATAGTTTTCCATTGTCTGTTTCAACAGTCCAATCAAACAGAAATCCATAGATGCTGTATCTGGCAACTTGACCAGTATGTCTTTCTATGGAATATCACACAGCTGTCATGTCAAAAGCACAACACCACTTCTTGCATGCTTTCCATAATACATCTAGTATATGAAAATGATAGTTTTCCATTGTCTGTTTCAACAGTCCAATCAAACAGAAATCCATAGATGCTGTATCTGGCAACTTGACCAGTATGTCTTTCTATGGAACGATTATTGTAATGGACTAATATATTTTTAATAATATAACTGTTATTGTTAAACCCTATTTTGGTTATTGTAACTAATTGACTGATATATTTTCAATAACTTAACTGTTATTGTTAAACCCAACTAATTTGGTAAAAGAATGCTGGATACAGTTACCTATCTAGACATATCATTAACGTGTATAATCATATATTTTTGTGCTGTAGTCTTGTGCAATATAAATAATTACAAGTATAATTTTAATAAGAAATCAACTAGTAAATTTTTGTCTGCTTAATAAAAAAAATATTTCAGACTTTTACTGATAAAGGTAAAGAAAGCAGACCCATGTTAACTCTGTACATATTAGTGGGTCAAAGTGTGCATATCATGACATTTTACAGAGTTACATTCAAAATTTAGTTGAACAAGTTTATTATCAGTGTATGTCAGGAAACTTGGCATCAAATGTTCAATATTATCTAAGTTTTAATTTCTTCATTCCAAAAGGAGATATTTAAAAAAGTTCTCCATCTTCACTCTCCTGAGATGCATCTGCACTTCAATTACTCTCTTTCAGATTTTTCTTACATTAAATATGGGCTGTTGAAGTTTACAAACTTTTAAACCTACTACCTTCTTGATTTGCTGAGATATAAATAAATTTGTCAAACTTACTAAAGAAGCCTCTCCCATCTTTTCAAGTATTTCAAGTCAGTTATATACACACATGTACTTACCTGATGGACATGGTTATAAGCAAGACAAAATGCATATACATAAATTTTAACAGTAAGTAGTTGACAAGAAAAGTTTGATTTGTGTTGAATAATGTTGTTGCTCTGAGCAGTAACATAGTTCTTTAGACTTACTTATAGCTTAGTTAGAAAGACAGATAAATTATAGTTTTTGATATATTTTTTGTGTTCTAAAAACATTTTTGAAAGGTTCATGAATTATGATTTGTACAGCCAACATTGTGAGAAAAAATATAATTAGAGAACCATAACATTTGGACATACAAGATTTCAAATGATAAAATTCTTGTTTTTATGTATATTTTTTAACAAAATTAAGTAAGATGTAAAAATTGTAAACTTTTCAGTTTATTTGCTTAAAATTTTACTAAAATAAAATGTCTAAAATTATACTAGCACATTGTGTGAGTGACCACACATGAAATTTAACACCAGTTCATGTAAGTCACGAGCTGTTACATAATGATACAATTATGATAAAGGCTCATGCTGTGATTTATTGCTTTTTATGCACATAGTGGATTTAAAGACTGGCAATGAAACTATAAACTTAAAATAAAAGAGATGTGAATAGGTTAAAAGTTGAAATTGTGACGATAATTAGGTTGAAGATAGTGCAACAAATGATGCAATTGAGGAAAAAGAAAAAAGGTTTTATTCAATTTATTTCGTACTTTGTAACTCATAATTTCACTATATGTTGATGATTTTGTTACAGTTAGTGTTAGGATAGAGAAAATAAGAGATAAGATCAAAAGTTCTGGAGGTTTTGCAAATGAAATATGAAAAATGTAAGAAGAAAATTATTAGTTTTATTCTTAACATGAAAATTGCATTTTACTCAGACTGACTTCGTAAAGGCTTTGCAAGATCACAAGCAAATCTTTAGAAACAAATACTTTATCAAAAATCTGATGGTTTGTGTGCAACAAATTTATAATGTTTACTAAAAGTATCTAATACATTCAGAGGTATAATAGGCGTAGTCTCATGGTAACAGATGGGTACAAAGCCAGTTAAATTGACAGATTGCATATACAGAGAGATGTTAAGCTGGAAAGAGTCCTAAGTTGGCATTAGATTTTATATATTAATTGTTACAAAAAACTAAATTAAAATTATATATTGTTCATCAAAACCTTAAAAAACTACCCAACATTCAGTGATAAATATGAGCTAAAAAAAACGGTTGAGTATGTTAAATCAAAAATATTTTAAATATGCGAAATGGCAAGTCACATGGCAACCACGGCCAATAAGAAGTCAGGATGGAACTGAATGTATAAGAACTATTTTGACCCTTTTTTTGGCATTTCATATGTAGTCTGATGCCACAAAAAAATTGATTGGTTTTGAGAAGGGTACGTAACAGGCCTTTCAGACACAAAAACTTATACATTCAGATCTTTAAAATGTGTTCAGGTCAGGGATTTAGTATTTTGAAGATGGGGATGTCTCTTATATTTAACACTATTGGCAAACTAAGAAAAATTAATGAATTTGGGGCACCATGACCATCCAGAAATAAACCTGCAACAAGTCATACCACCGTCAAGTCACACATACACAAATTGCTTCCACAAAACATCTTTTCATTCTTCAAGTAGCTGGAGAATGAAGCAGATATTCATGTCGTTTTCAATAACTGAACTGTTATTGTTAAACCCTATTTGGTTATTGTAAGGGACTAATATAAAACTGTTATTGTTAAACCCTATTTTTTTCAATAACTGTTATATTAGTCCCTTACAATAACCAAATAGGGTTTAACAATAACAGTTTTATATTAGTCCCTTACAATAAC